ACTCACAGCTTAAAGGAGGCGACCTGCGCTTGACTTTTTTCACTCCAACGCTGTCCTCCGGACAGGTTGGTCCCTTCACCTGATGAAGGTCACTTGTGTTGCGGTCGAAACGTCGTGATTTTTGATATTTTATTGTTTTACCTACGTGACTTTACCCAATAGAACCAAAGAGTAGGGTGGTTCTTCTTCTCCACCCACAGGATCCCAGCACCTAGTTCCCGAGGAACCGCCTGCACCCCTGCCAGGGGGTGAGCAGTCTCGCAGGACTGGAATTCCGCCACTCGACCAGGCTCCGGCTCGCGGGGGCGGACCAGCCTCGAGAACAAGGTCCAGGAGCGGGCTGTTCCATTGAGCGCCCTTCCTGAACACAGCAGCTCGACGTTGCATTGGTGGCACTGGCAGTTTGCTCAGCAGTGGGTCATGGAGCGATGGCACTCTGTACGGGCCATCTGGTGTCTTCACTTGGTTCCCGTGCTGATTATCCTGTTTTGTCCCACATTGTTATTCTTCTTGTGGTGTTTTGGCATTGATGTTTTGGCTACTTGTCGTGGGGGTCATCCACATTTTCTTCTCTACAAGAGAAAACATTGTCAGCCGGGACGGCTGATTTTTATTCACCCGGGGGGGGTGATGTAGAGGAGTACTGCGAGTACCCAACGAGGGGCGAGCGCGGGAATAGGTGCAGACCAAGGGAGGAGTCGCGGAAGGTCAAGGCATGATGGGAGAGGGGGCGTAAGACGTTCCCCAAGGGGGGAGCTGGCGGAAGGGAGGGGCCCCGGGCAGGGGGGGGGGGGATATAAAAGGGGGACCTCGGGAGAGAGAGGGGAGGAAGAGCTGGAGGAAGACACCTCGGGCAGAGAGAGAAAAGGGGGGTGAGGACGGACCTCGCTCTTGGGCGGTGTGGGTTGACCTCCCGCCTGGAAAAGACGATGGGAGACCTAGGGGTAGCCCTGATAGGGTAGTTGAGAAAGAGGTTAAGGGACGGGGTGTAACGTGTACCCACCACATGTGGAAGTGTGGAGTGGAGAGATAGTGAATAGAGAGGAGAGCACAAGTGAATAAACGGCAAGTAGCCCTGAGTAAAGATCTGGTCTCCGTATGGTTCTGTAGAACTCATTCGCGTCAAGAACTACACTACACATGCATGCGCAGATGCGTGCTCTGGCACATGCTCAAAGTTATCATTACGTTCAGCGTACATTGTTACAAAGTGTGATTTTATTAGTTTAAATTGGACCAAGGGCAAAAACAAATAGCGAGTTTTTGTCCGGGGGCTTAGTTTGTTGTATGTGTACTTTGTTGAAACGCAAACCCAACAGTTTGTGTATTAAAAGCATTACGAGGATAGGCATACGCAGACAGGTAGTCAAAAAAATACGTGTATTAGGTAAGACAATATAATTAGCGTTGTGGAGAAAATATCTTCATCATGTAACATTTCAGTCTTTTCCCTTGTATGTACTATATTCATGATTTCGAAGACAATGAGTTGGGTGGTATGGTTCCTAGACTAGAAAGAAAATACCTTTGACCCTGTATCACATGAACAACAGTAGTCACTTAAATGTTCTGCACAGGTTATTGTCAAAACAAACGTTCATGTAGTTAGGACATTCCATTTTTGACCATTTTATACCAAATTGTATGTACAGTAAAATCTCTATTAACCGGCAGCATCTGTCAACAGGCAATATAAATATCCCTTCAAGTATCAAGAAAAATTCTGGCATCTTGCAGCATGCTTTAGGACTATGCTGAGTGGTGGCGCAAATGGAGTCGCAATTGCAATCCGCCATTGCGATCGTGTTATGGGCTGCCTCACCTAATTGTTTCACTGTACTTGTACATACAGTACCGCACTACTGTACACTGTAATCTAAACAGCACCACTGCTTCTTTACAATCAACTTAGAATGCGATACAAATGACTGGTGAGTAACTCTGTGAAAGAGTAAATTATTTTGAATATCAGTCAAAATGTATGCTTAATTTATACTCTTTGGTTATTTCGGTGAAGTCACATAGATATAAAATAAATCACGTTTCGGGCGCAACATAAGCGTCCATCATCAGGTTGGACCACCACAGCAAGAAACAATTGCTGAAGCAGGCAAAGAGCTGCTTGTAACAAGAGGTTATATAGATGAGAGAGGGGGGAGGAGCCAGGGACAGAGAGGGTAGGGAGGCGTGGGTCAGAGGGGGGCGGAGCACTGCAGGCTCGACGAGGTCAAGGCACGGCAAATTTACTAGCGATGGGAATGAGCGGGGCTGGGCGTAAGAGGCTGAAGAAACTGGAGATGCGGATATGAAGGCAAACTATAAAGCAGCTAAGGTTTTACCTGGTTGATAACATCCTTCCAATGATTGCTCAATTTGTATCCATCTTATTGGTTGAAGTTACGTCTGTTTATATATCTGGATAGCTTAATGAACAAACCTTTGATAGTAGCCCGAAGATTTGCAGAGCACCTTGGTCTCGGGAAAAAAATATCACGAGAACCCACAGCGTTATAACAATGGTCAGCCACGGCGAAGGAATTAGTTCTGCCGTGTTTCAGATCTGACTTGTGTTCGCGAACACGGTCCGAAATATGGGTGGGTGAGTGGGTGTGGGTGGGTGAGTGAGTGGGTGAGGTAAAACCTTAGCTGCTTTATAGTTTGCCTTCCTATCCACATCTCCAGTTTCTTCAGCCTCTTACGCCCAGCTCCGCTCATTCCCATCGCTAGTAAATTTGCCGTGCCTTCACCTCGTCGAGCCTGCAGTGCTCCACTCCCCTCTGACTCACGCCCCCCCACCCTCTCTATCCCTAGCTCCTCCTCCCCCCTTTCTCATCTATATAACCTCTTGTTACAAGCAGCTCTTTACCTACTTCAGCAATTGTTTCTTGCTGTGGTTGTCCCACCTGATGACGGACGCTTGTGTTGTGCCCGAAACGTCGTGATTTAATTTATTTCATACCTATGTGACTTTACCGAAAGAACCAAAGAGTATGGATCCCTGCAGTCATGACAACTTAAAATCTAGATTATGCTTAATTTCTTCATTGAAAAATGTTTTTATACTTGAGAAATTTGCTGAACCATTAAGTATACCTCTCAGATAACCGGCACATTTGATGAACTGGCACCCTCGATTCCCCATAGATGCTGGATAAGAGCTTTTGCTGTATATGCTCAAAATCAGATAATGCGTGTTAAAATTATAACTCCAAATTATCGAGACACATCACCAACATTGAACTATTGCATTGAAATATACTGCATCACATTACATCGCATTTACTGTACACATTTACTCTACTCTGGAAAATATCTTCTTCATGTATATACTATATTCGTGATTTCGAAGACAATGAGTTGGGGGGTATGGTTCCTAGGCTAGAAAAAAATACCTTTGACCCTGTATCACATGAACAACAGCAGTCATGTAAATGTTCTGCACAGGTTATTGTCAAAACAAACATTCATGTAGTTAGGACATTCCATTTTTGACCATTTTATACCAAATGGTATGTACAGCAAAATCTCTATTAACCGGCAGCATCTGTCAACCGGCAATATAAATATTTCTTCAAGTATTTACTGTACACATTTACTCTACTCTGGATGCCTAAAACTGCATGCATTCTTCGATAGCACGGTTATTTGTAAAAAAAAATGTTCACAGTTCACATCTTTCTGGCAGCCCTCATGATTACTGCAGCAATATTGACCAACAATATGCACCATCAGCTTAACAGTGGATGTTCAACATTCATGGTGTCAGGGTCAAAATTTGCGAGATTCGAAAGATTAGCCACAAATAACCCGACTGGGGTTACACATCAATCATCGCTCCACCCTACTGGCAGACTCATGTCCACGTGCAGGTCGGTACTGAGTCACCTTGTACCACAAAGGGACAGCTGCCACTTGGGCTAGTCGTCGAACGATTGAGATGAAATATGATACAAGCCGCTTTTAGTTGCTGCAGCATTTCACCTTTGATTAGCAAGATTGGCTACGTACAGTGGGAAAAAAATAAAATATTCATGCAAACGCCAATTATTAATCTAAATATTATAACACGTTGAATGCTGTGGAGCTTCTCACTCCTGCTGACAGATCTAGCCAACCTCCAAGTCCACACATGCTCGCCGCTCCTACTCTGCATCCTCCTCCAAGTCCACCTCCACAAACTGTTAGGTTTCATTTCACCCTCTCTCAGTCCGCAGCCTCCTCCAGCTTCACGCTGCCTCTATTGACTACTTGGAGGTGAAACCCTTGTAATGGGAAAAGGCAAAAATCTGGCTGTTGCTTGATGAAGCTAGTTGTAATGACTTGCGAAAAGTGGTAATCAGATTGTAAATGTTGTAGCTTGGCTTGCCAACACACCGGTGTGCTGTACTAGTGACAACCCTTACTAGTTGGCTGTGTCAGGTGGTGGCGGGTTTTGACGACAAATTTATATATTTATGCGATTTAACCCAAAAAAATCTATTATGGGAAAGGCCTGTGAATGAAATGGAACTTTTATCCTAAGCTCAATGACACGCATTTACTTGGTCTCCATTTGACTCAGCATTGGCTAAAAAATCCACCCACACCTCCACATCCACAAATTGCTGGGAGTTGCCTCGCTCTGCCTCAGAGTCCATAGTCTCCTCCAGCTTCACGCTGCCTCCATCGACGTGGAGGTCGGATTTTGGAGTTGAATCTTCATCCTCAAATTTCACTATAACTTCACTCTTTACCATTACTTCTTCGTTCTTCACCTTCACTGATTCAAATTTCATTTTCACTTCTTGACATTTCGCCTTCACTCCTGACCACGTTTCATATCTCAAATGTTTTTCTGGTTCTTGTTTCATGAGAGATGGACTCATTGCAGCACTTGGACTTTCACAAGCCGATTTCAGATTAATTTCCTGATGAATGGTTTGATGGTTGTTTCGATCCCCTAACTGTCTAAATCCCTTCCCATGCACAGTGCACTTTAAGGGTTTGTCTCCTGTGTGTGCTCGCTGGTGTTCTTTAAGATATGATGACCGTGAAAATTCCTTCTCACACACAGTGCACTTGAATGGTTTCTCTCCTGTGTGTGTTCTCTGGTGTCTTTTAAGATTTCCTACCTGTGCAAATGCCTTCCTACACACAGTGCATTTGAAGGGTTTCTCTCCCGTGTGTGTTCTCTGGTGGCCCTGAAGAATTGATGAATCTGCAAACGCCTTCCCACATACAGTGCACTTGAAGGGTGTCTCTCCTGTGTGACTTATCTGGTGTATTTTAAGATGTGATGACTGTGCAAATGCCTTGCCACACAAAATACACTTGAAGGGTTTTTCTCCTGTGTGTTTTCTCTGGTGTCTTTTAAGACGTGATGAATGTGCAAATGCCTTCCCACACACAGTGCACTTGAAGGGTGTTTCTCCTGTGTGTATTCTCTGGTGTCTTTTAAGAAGTGATGACTGTGCAAAGGCCTTCCCACACACAGTGCACTTGAAGGGTGTTTCTAATGTGTGTATTCTCTGGTGTGTTTTCATATTTGATGACTGTGCAAAGGCCTTCCCACACACAGTGCACTTGAAGGGTGTTTCTCCTGTGTGTATTCTCTGGTGTCTTTCAAGATGTGATGAATGTGCAAACCCCTTCCCACACACACTGCACTTGAAGGGTGTTTCTCCTGTGTGTATTCTCTGGTGTGTTTTAAGATGTGATGACATTGCAAATGCCATCCCACACACAGTGCACTTGAAGGGCGTTTCTCCTGTGTGTATTCTCTGGTGTCTTTTAAGAAGTGCTGAATGTGCAAACGCCTTCCCACACACAGTGCATTTGAAGGGTGTTTCTCCTGTGTGTATTCTCTGGTGTGTTTTAAGATGTGATGACTGTGCAAAGGCCTTCCCACACATAGTGCACTTGAAGGGTGTTTCTCCTGTGTGTATTCTCTGGTGTCTTTTAAGATGTGATGACATTGCAAATGCCTTCCCACACACAGTGCACTTGAAGGGTTTCTCTCCCGTGTGTGTTCTCTGGTGGACCTGAAGACTTGATGAATGTGCAAACGCTTTCCCACACACAGTGCACTTGAATGGTTTCTCTCCTGCTGATTGTCTTCGCTCCATTTGACCAATTCTGTACAGAGTAGTGGCAGAGGAACTGGCAGCTGCAGACAGAAAACAGTAACATCCACACAATGTATGTCAGCATAGAAATATATATAGTCAGACGTGATATTCACATATTACATAGACAAGAACACTCAAACATTCATGAGAAATAAACTGTTTTAAGGCACTTGCTCCGATTGACGATCACCTCTTGGCCTGGCATAGCAGGCACGTGATCAGTATAATGCCTGCAGGCCCTAATATATTTAATATCATTGATAAACCATAACTCTACGTACAGAATTTCGGTTGTATCTGGCTATTGAAGAAATTTTGATTTAAAGCTTTCGTGACTGCAGGGATTCATATTACTGGTTCTTTCGGTAAAGTCACGTAGAAGGGAAACAATAAAATAATAAAAATATTAAACAATAAAATTATCACGTTTCGACTGCAACACAAGCAATCATCATCAGGTGTGAAAACCACAGCAAGAAAATTTGAAAAAAGTCGTGGTTAATTTTTAACGTTAGCACCACGGAGAGCGATTTGACAGTTTGTTCAGATGGACGAGTCCATCTATGTTCGGAAAAGAGAAGGGGGGAGACGAAAATAATGGATGCGGTCTGAAAGCCACCGTAAGCATGAACAATCAATTAAGACCCGAAATATTTTTATTATTTTATTGTTTCCCTTCTACGTGACTTTACCGAAAGGACCAAGAGTATTGAAGAAATGTTAACTATGCAAAAGTCTGATAAAAATAGAAAATGGTGTTAAAAATAAAAATATTCGCATTGGGCAGAAATATTATAAAATGGACAAATTAATGTTCAATTGCAACTTGGTAGTCCGAAGCCAGGCTCAGATTTGCTTGAATGCTCGGATGGACAGGTGTAATTTCAGCTTCATGTGCTGTGTTTTCCATGCTTATGAAACGTTCCATGTGTCGGGGACTGTACAAGAGAAGATTCTAGAAGGCGTGCGTTGTGATGATTGGAAACAGGTGACCGGAAGGCACTGTAAGCAATATTCAATTAAGGACACACATGTTATAGTAAAGTGGGGGGGGGGGGGCGTGCAAGTATATAAGGGGGAGTGAGGCCCGCGGTCGGGGTGCTTACTCGGGGACTGATTCACGACCAGAGATGGACGACATTGGGGCTGAGTGTGGAAACCATCGGGGTTCACTGTTTAGGTATCAACTTGGTGGAAACCATCGAGGCTGAAGATAGCCATAGCAATTACGAGTGTGGCAGTCATTACACTTGGACTTAAACCCCATTGCTTTGATTAAACCTAGGTGTATAATATGGTCAATATAAACTTGATTTGAAGCTTTCGTGACTGCAGGAATTCTTCGATTGCAACACAAGCAACTGTCATCAGGAATGAATTAATGAGAAAACAAACCTAGTAAACTTAGAAATGCAATGCAATGCAACAGAGAGAGTTGGCGAACACAACAGTTAACACTTCATCTGGTTGATTACGTTCTTCCAAAGATTGCTAAATTTGAGAGAGAAAAAAAAACAGACACAGAGACACATAGAAAGACACACAAGCAGAGAGAGTCACACACAGAGACACAGAGAGAGACACAGAGAGAGACACACACAGAGACACACACAGAGACACACAGAGAAACACAGAGAAACAACGACTCTGTGACGGGACATTATATATAGAGGGGGGTCGGGCAGTGAAATTAGCATGTTAATGAGAGCAGCCGGAGGCGAGAAATTGGACCTTGACAAAACAGTTAAAATTTAGCGGCCGGAGGAGAGAAATTGGAACTTGACAAACCTGGTAAAAATGTTAAAGAGAGAAATTGGAAGTTTGAGAAAACAAACCTAGTAAACTTAGAAATGTAATGCAATGCAACACAGAGTCGGTTAACACAACAATTAACACTTTACCTGGTTGATTACGTTCTTCCAAAGATTACTAAATTTGAAGTTAAGTGTGAGTTGTGAGGAAATCCTCCCCGTAGAGGTGGTTCAAACTTGATTTGAAGCTTTCGTGATTACAGGAATTTCTCTCTAAAATTTAGCAATCTTTGGAAGAATGTAATCAACCAGGTAAAGTGTTAACTGTTGTGTTAGCCGACTCTCTGTGTTGCATCACATTACATTTCTAAGTTTACTAGGTTTGTTTTCTCATTCATTCGTGATGGTTGCTTGTGTTGCAATCAAAACGTCGTATTCTATTATTTATTTAAATTTCTTTCTACGTGACTTTACCGAAAGAACCAAAGAGTATGGTCAATATACTTTCCAGCAAATAAAAACTTTACACTCTCACGCACTGGAACGGTGAAGAAGCTGGTGTTGTTGCTAGAACCATGCCTCTGGCTGCCTGCATCTGCTCAGTACTGATGCTTATACTCTTCACCAAGTACTTAACGTAGGAACAATCAACCCAGCAGAGGCCTACAATAAGTTAAGCTATAACTTGTCAATCATGTCCGCTGTCAGCAATAATACAACTGAATGTTGGCTCCATAATGCAGTGGACGAAAAAATTTGCCTCCACTCCCCATGTAGATACACTCCTGCAGTGAGGGAAAAAAGTATTTGATCCCCTGCTGATTTTGTACGTTTGCCCACTGACAAAGAAATGATCAGACAGGCGAGTGCGTGGTCAGTGCTTGGCCGATCTGCTGTCCGCCGCGGCAGTGTTGGTGGCGGAGATGGGCCTGGACGAGCCAGCCGACCGTGTCAGAGTGCCGGGGCCACGGGGTGAGGACTCAGCCGTCGCTGCGCCCCAACCGCGGGGAATCGCGGGAGACGGAGCCCGCGCAGGAGGCCGCCATTTTGAGTGGTGCGCAGGAAGGGATTTCTGCCATTTCGGGCGTCCCGCCAAAAACCCACGTGAAGGGTCCCGAACTGAAGCGGCGCCTTCCTTTTGTTAAATAATTTGTCGCGGCGGGTGGAGATTGGGTTGCCTTTAGCCGCCGCTTCATGGCTACGTCAGAACTTGTGGGATGGACGGAGAGTGAAGCGCTGCGGGCACTCCCTATAGTATTGGACGATAACCGCCCTGGGTGCCTTTTACTCCATTCCAGCTGAGGATCGTCGGACGTTAGCTCAAGCTCTTCAGCAGATGGGCGTGGATTTTCGATCCGCCGTCCAACATGCGTCATAAGTATGCAGCTCGGCGATGTGAGGATTCCGAGACGCCTCTCGTTTTTCGCAACGCACTTATCTCGCTTGCCCAGGCAGCTTACCCTAGGATGGACAAGGAGAGTCTGGATGGGGTTGGCCCAGGAGCTCGACATCGTGTTTGCAGCCACCGACAATGACTTGACATCACTGCGGGTCGCCAGGTGTATTCAGACCCACCTAAACGGCAAGCGCAGAGTGAAGGTAGTGGCATGTGCGGGTCCTGCTGAGGAAGAATCGGCCGATGAGGGGGAGTCCTCTCAAGCCTTTGCGTCGCTCGAGGGTGGATGGAAGAAGACCCGTCCGGGGCGGAAGGACGATCGTGATCGACAGACGGGGGCCTCCTCCAGGCCTGCGTCGTCCCCCATCTTGTGCTTCGAGTGCGGCCTTCTGGGCCACATCTTCAAGAGATGCCGGACCGATCGTCAGAGTACATCCAGGACACCGTCATCTTCGGGGCGTCCCTCCTCCGGGCCGCAGGGCCCACAAGCGAGTCGTGCTGCACCTCACACTCGGCCCTCGCATTCACATCATACATCCGTTGCGGGCGTCGGTCTTCACTCGCGGGGGGGAGGGCCATCAGCTCGTGCAGCAGGGTGCATAGCTCGGGAGTTGGCGGCGGACGGGTGGCCATTACGACCTGCTCAGTGGTCGGAGTTGGGGCAACGTATTGTGGCGGCGGCCACGGCATCGTCGGCTGTCGTCGCTGCGAGGGATGGAAGTGCGGATGCTTGTTGATACGGGTGCATCCGCTAACATCATATCTGAAAATATTTTTGAATGCTTGCCCCCTAAGTCGGCTACCCTCCGTCCAGTTGATGTCCCCTGTGTTGCTGCGAATGGCTGTTCCTTGGGCATTGTGGGCCAAGTGTTGGCTACCGTTGCCATTGGTGACATTCAATTAACCAGGCTTGTGTTGGTTTCAAAATCGTTAGCCGTTTCCTGCTTGCTCGGTATGGATTAACTTGGTAAAATGCCCCTAAAAATCCTCGTGGACCAGGGGTGCCTGGAATTTCATTCCGGCCGTAGGATGGCCTTTTTGCCCTCCCCCACTCGACTGGGTAGAGTAAATGCGGTGATTCCTGCGCTCGTGCGTGATATGGTTCAAATTCCCCCTGGGGCACAAATGCTCGTGCCCTTGCATCTCAAGTGGGAACTCGATAGGGAGGCCGCCAAGGGAGGTGTTCTACTGACTCCATCAAATAAAGTGCGCCGGGGATTTGCGTTGGTAGGAGCCCAAACTATTGTCAGTAATGATCAGCAGCCATTCATTCAGATTCTTAATGCTGGCCTGGAGCCCACTGTAATACAGGCGGGCACAGTACTGGCTCATGCATCGCCCACAGTGAGTGATGTCGGAGGGGCGGAGCCCCCGTGGGTTATCGCGGCTGCAGAGAAAGGGGATGATAATGACGTGGCATGGCTGGACGCGCTCTGTTGCTTAAAGCCCTGACTTCTCAGAGGTCCGCGTTGCGTGTGCTTCTTCTGGAGTTTTTGGATGTGTTTAGCAAACACAAATACGACATTGGCCATACGTCATTGGTCCACCACCACATCGACATGGGAATTGCGGTCCCCATTCGCCAGAACCCCTATAGGTTAAGTCGGAAAGAGAAGGAGCATGTTCACAACGCGGTCGAGGAAATGCTAGCTGCAGATATTATTGCCCCTTATACTAGTCCATGGGGGGTCCCTATTGTCCTCGTCAAAAAGCAGAATGGCACCTTGAGGTTCTGCATGGATTTTGGGAAGTTGAACAAGGTCTCTGTTGCCAATGCATACCCGTTACTGCGGATGGATGATTCTCTGGATGCCTTGTCAGGGACTTTTGGCAGTTGCCCTTAGATGATAGTTCCAAGCCAAAAACTGCATTTCGTACCCCCCAGGGCTTGTTTGAGTTCAACCGTCTTCCCATGGGGCTATATTCCAGTCTGGCCACGTTCCAACGGCTGATGGAATTTGTTTTGGCAGAGCTCCAGTGGGATCCATGCCTCATCTACCTTGATGATGTTATTGTTTTTGCGCGGACGTTCGAGGAGCACCTGCAGTGGTTATGAGCGTTTTTTCTTAAGATGCGGGCGGCCGATTTGAAGTTCAAGCCGCAGAAATGCCATTTCCTGCAAAAGTCAGTGCGATATCTGGGCCACGTGGTCAGCGAATCCGGAATAGCGACGGACCCCAACAAAACGGCATGCGTGCGTATGTGGCCGACCCCCAAGACGGTGGGTGAGGTACGCAGTTTTGTGGGGTTCGCCTCCTATTACCGCCGATTTGTGCCCGTCTTTGCCACTATAGCTAAACCGCTGCACGTCCTCACTGCTAAGGGCCAAAAATTATGTTGGGGCGTGGAAGAGGAGGCGGCATTTATCGCGCAACGGGAGGGACTGGTCAAAGCACCCCCTCTCCACTAACCCGATTTCTCACGACCCTTTTCCTCGACACGGACGCCAGCGACACCGGGATTGGCACTGTACTGTCCCAGGTCGTTGACGAAGTCGAGAGGGTTGTGGCGTATGGGAGTCGTGTGTTATCCCCTGCGGAACAACGATATTGTGTGACGCGCCGGGAATTGCTGGCCATCGTACATTTTGTCCAGGTATATTGGCCATACCTCTATGGGAGGGCGTTTCAGGTGCGGTCGGATCACGCAACCCTTCAGTATGCACTACGGGTAGAACAACCGTCCGGGCAACTCTCGAGGTGGTTGGAGGTCCTGCAGGACTATACCTTTACGGTGTTGTACAGGAAAGGGGTTCGCCATAATAATGCGGACGCTCTTTCGAGGTTGCCTCCTCGCGCCTCATGTGCATGCCTCACGGGTTCCGGACGCTGTAAGATTCTTAATGAAGATTTGACTCAGGCTGTGGTGGCATCTGCAGATCTTCTGCCGGCTAACACAGTCCAGATGCGGGATCGGACGCTCGGTCTCACACATGATGAGTGGGGGAAACTCCAGATGGAGGACGCCTCCCTACTCAGACTGCGAAGCCGCATCGGTAAGGCAGAGGGTCGGGGTGCCGGACGAGGCGTTTCGCCGGTTATTCGTGACGAAGGCGTGCTCATGAAATGGGACGCTGACCTCCAGCGCTATGCACTAGTGGTGCCACTTGTTCTGCCGTGGAAGGTTATACGGCTGCAGCATGAGCGGTTAATGCACCTTGGGGGATCCGTAAGACATTGGCTACCCTAAAGTTTCATTTTTTTTGGCCAGGCATGGCCGATGATGTGCATAACGTTTTGCAGGGTTGCACCGAATGTGCTCGCCAGAAATCTGCCTCGAGGGCGGATCGCCCGCCCCTGAAGTCCATTTCCGTTTCACGGGTAAACAAACTCGTCGCACTCGATATCCTCAGTCCATTTCTCACCACTCCGTGGGGGAACATATTTATTGGTTGGTGTAGAATATTTGACGTGTTGGCCAATGGCCTGACCGCTACAGAACCAATCAGCACATGTCATCACGGATGCATTCCTTCAGGGTTATGTGCTGGATAAGGGCGCTCTTGAACATCTCTTAATGGACCAGGGCAAAAATGTATCCTCCAAATTGCTGAAGGATGCTTGTGGCCAATTGGGTACCCTGAAAGTCCGCACGTCGCCCTGGTAGAAAGATTGCTTAGGACCATGACTTCAATGTTATGCCAATGTGTCATGACTGAGAGTGCAGAGCAGCTATAGACCACCGCCTTGGGGAAGATGCTGCCTGTCTCATGCTTCGCTTCGCGGTGTTCATCCACAACCTCACTGCGCTGGACTACTTGCGCTTAAGTAACTAAGGCAAACATTTCCGCATGTTGATTTTTTTTACATGGTTTATGGGAACATTTCCGTAAGGTTGGATTTCCGTAAGTCGGGTCTTCCGCTACCCGGGGACTTACTGTAATGTATGTGGCCAGAGGGAATTCCTGTCACACGCCAACTTGAACAGGAAACGGCTCCGAATCCTTGTCACGCAGCATTTGCCGGGCCTGCCCAAAATCATAAAAATGCTTAACGAATGTGAGCAGAGGGGCAGGAATATCGAAAACAAGGAACAACCAAAAGCCGAAGCCTCTTAATGGTACTTAGGCCTTGATTACATCAAGAAAGCAGAGATCTAGTTTCTGATAAAAAAAAATCGATACATCTGTGCTGTAGCATATGAACAGAAAATACAGGAGACCTTTGAATATCGCGGGGGTTACGTTCTTGGAATGTGCCGAGAAAGCCAAAATGGCAATATTCAATACTTAAGCCTTACCTAAACAATGGGGTTAGGTAAATGGCAAACAAAAATACGCATCACAATTGAAATAAGTACTGTCCTGCATGCTAACTAAACTAAAAACAAAACAATCGAAATGAACAAGTAGAAACACTATAGAAAAAACATTCCAAGACATTAAATAGGATTATAAATACTGAATACTCTACATACAATGATGACGATGTCTGTGCGTGAGTGGAGAGTGGTAGTGCTTCAGTTAGCGTGCTGCGCTATGAACCCAGCAACCCGAGTTCAATTTCCGCTCATGCCCAAAACTATGACGATTATCTGAATTCGCCCTGGGCCTTCCCAGGTCGACTCAGCCTCAAATAAGTACCTGTGTGTTGTGTAAATATCGCCGCTGGGGAGATAAAAGCGGCCAGGAATGGTGCTGATAAACCTACCCCTTTGTGTGCCGTGCCGACCTTCACAGGTTCTACTTGCGAACAGTACTTGTCCTTGCAGTCTGTTAAGGCTAAAGGCTTGCACGGCAAAGGTTGAGGTGCCACCGATTTCCTCGCGTTCCTCACCCACCCCGCCCTCTTTCCCAGAACTGCATACCCACGAAAGTGTAAATTGGTATGCAAAGAGGTTGCCCGTGATAGGTCGAATCCGCAAAAAATAAACCCGTGATATTCAAGGGTCCACTGTATGACATTTGCGGAGGACTGTCCCGGCCTGAAACCACAATGGGGATTTGCAAGCTTCTTCTCTGCAGGTCTGGCAAGCTGAAAATTCATTCATAATAGAGGTTTTTGGGCTAGATCGCGTAAATATGTGTCGTTAAAACCCGCCACCACCCGACACAGCCAACTAGTAAGGGTTATCACGTAAACAGAACAATTCGTCACTACTACAGCACACCGGTGTGTTGGAGAGCCAAGCCACAACATTTAAAAACTGAGTATGACGTTTCGCAGGTACCGTATTTTCCCGCATATAGCCCGCATATGCATATAACCCGCAGACGCATATACCCGGCAAAAATAGCGTTTTGTGTAAAACAAATTTCAGATAGCCCGCACCTCCATATACCCCGCATGCATTCATATCTTTAACATCGTTACCGCAGCTTAATTCCATCATATGAATACGAAGTTTACATTTGTAATACATTCCACTATCAATTGTTGACGTTAAAATCATAAAGTGCACAAAGAAAACAAACTAACCGGAAACGAGTGAACTTAAAACAGTAAACAAGTAACAAAAGTAAATATCCAATAAATAAGTAAAACATAACTGGTAGATAAGTACAGTTTTAGCACTGGTAGATTGCGCACTGCGCAATTAATAGCAGCATTACGGTAACTCCATTTCCTTGCCCCCCCCCCACCTCTCTCTCCCCCCAGCTGCCCCACCCCCCCCAACCCCCCACCTCTCTGCCCAGCTCTCCCGTCGCTGGTAAACAGTGAGCCACTTCAAACATTGTCGTTCAATTGTACAAACAATTCATTTAAAACATGATAACATGTGCAATTTTAGTGAGTGGTCTATTCAGCAGTGCGTTAATCAAAGGTAAGTGTTGCATAGTGGATAGTCCTACCATGAAAACATTTAACGAGTTATGACATGTCACACGTGTAAAATATTTTCGGGATAGCCCGCACCTCCATATACCCCGCAGGGTCTTGTTTTGTTTGTAAAAAGTGGTATACCCTGCGGGTTATATGCGGGAAAATACGGTAATTATAACTAGCTTCATCAGGCGACAGCCAGATTTGTGGAGAAGTCTTACTGTTTCGTTCCTTATATAAAGGCGTAGATGTGTTGACCACTCTTTTACCTGAGCGAGCGGGTGAGTAGGTCATCCAGTGAGTGAGTGATTGAGTTAGTGGGTAAATTAAGCTTCATCCACCCTCGAGTTCTGGCTGTTTACCCTGGAAGATGTGTATATTTCATACTTTTCATACAAGGGATCTATATAATACCTCGTTACAGAGGCGTTGTTTTCTCTGTCTCTCTCTGCGTGAGTCTCTCTATGTGTCTCTCTCTTTGTGTATGTCTCTCTCCATGTCTGTGTTTGTCTCTCTCTCTCTGTATGTGTCTCTCTCTGTGTATGTGTCTCTCTCCGAGCTTGCATTTACATACAGTTATCACCTGATGACAGTTGTGTTGCAATCGAAACGTCGTAATCTATTATTTATTTTATTTTTTCTTTCTATTTGACTTTACCGAAAGAACCAAAGAGTAATTACTGCAGTCACGAAAGCTTCAAATCAAGATTGAACCACCTCTACGGGGAGGATTTCCACACAACTCATACTTAACTTCAAATTTAGCAATCTATGGAAGAATGTCATCAACTGGGTAAAGTGTTAACTGTTGTTAGCCGACTCTCTGTGTTGCATTGCATTGCATTTCTAAGTTTGTTAGGTTTGATTTCTCAAACTTCTAATTTCTGTCCCCCTGCCGCAGATCAAGTTCCCCCTTGGCTCTACATGCCCCCTGCTGCAGATCCCATCCCCTCCTTCTCTCATTGACATGCTAATTTATCTGCCCCAATCCCCCCTCTCTCTCCTCCATGCCGCAGACTTCTCCTGTTACTGCAGCCCCCCCCCCTCCTTGCTCCCTCCCCCTCTGGGATCAATATAATACCTTGTCACAGAGGCGTTGTTTCTCTGTGTGTCTCTCTCTGCGTGTGTGCCTCTCTGTGTCTCTCCTCTATGTGTGTCTCTCTCTGTGTTTGTCTCTCTCTGTCTCTCTCTGTGTGTCTCTCTCCGTGTCTGTGTCTCTCTCTGTTTGTCTCTCTCTCCGTGTCTGTGTTTGTCTCTCTTTGTGTATGTGTCTCTCTCCAAGCTTGCATTTATATAGTTCTCACCTGATGATGGTTGCTTGTGTTGCAATCGAAATGTCGAAATCTATTATTTTTTTCTTTCTACGTGACTTTACCAAAAGAACCAAAGAGTAATTCCTGCAGTCATGAAGCTTCAAATCAAGATTGAAATGCAGTAATTTACAAATGTGAATTATAATTGTATTATGAATACTGCAGGCATAATATACACACCAACATGCACCATATGCTTCCATATAGATGTTCAAGTATTTTTTTCTAGCGTTATTTTCCTGAGTAGGCCATTGTGTACTGGTGTCATGGTTTAAATCAGGGGCGTCCTAACTTTTTTCCCGAGGGTCACATACAGAAAAATATACGAAGGACTGGGCCACTCACTAGACGTGAGGTATACTGCCTCACTTCTCATGCACTAATATTGGCAAAATCAATGAAATGCAGTTAAATTACGTTTGATAATTGAACATATTTGAAGAAAAAAAAGGCTCCATCATAGCACTCCATGAGTACATTTTCATTTTTTTTTACAAAAAGGTTGGCAGGTCATTCTCTCAGTGACAGCCTCAGATTGGTTCTTAGGGTGCTGATCCACCTTCATTGTCCTGTATGAAGGGAGAGACAAGAAGAGAAATAGGGGATGTGGATATTTCAAGCTTATTACACAAATAAATTATTGGGCTTGTTAACACATCAACTAACGTTTGTTAAAAAAATGTCATCAACTTTAATTGACTGAATTAATTAAGTAATTGGGCTTATTAACAAATGAAAACTGTGTGTATATTTTTAACTCACCTGTAATGGGAAGAATATTGCGCTCAGTGGGAGCAGTGATGCTGCGCTTTGGTCTGAAGGATAGCTGGCAGGTCAGGAGTAAGTTTGGTGGTTGAGATGCGAAGGAAGTCACGGTGATGGCTGTCGGTCGTTCTGGTTCTCAGTCTGCTTTTGTTCAGCGTTAAGAGAGAATGTCTGCTCACAGATGTATGTTGAGCCGAACAGACTCATTATTAGTTTTGCGTGGCGTCTCATCAGAGGAAACTTGGCCTTTTCCAAGCTCTGGTAGAAGTCAGGTAGGGAGAGAAGCTGATGCTGATTCTTCAGAGATTCATCACACTGAATTTCGATCAGTTCTAATTGCAGACTCTCCTCCACTTCTTCTGCATCCATTGAAAACGGACCCGCAAACAGTGTGATTTCCTTCTCAATGACAGAAAAATCTTGGAAGCGCTGACTGAATTCTGTCATGAAAGATGTGATCACAGACACATTCTCCCATTTTTGCAGAGAGCTTGGCATTTGGAAATGTGCATTTGATTTCGGTCAGCGTGGGGAAGTGCGCTACATTGAAGTTGCGCAGTTGTGACTCGAAGAGACGGAGCTTCGCACGGAATGCTTTCATGTGCGTATACAGCTGTGGTACCAGCTGCTCTTTGCCTTGTAGTCTCTTGTTCAGGGCGTTGAGATGATCAGTGAGATCAACTAAAAAAGCCAGGTCTGCCAATCATAAAGGGTCACTGATGTCATGGAGAGGTCTGCCCTTTTCTTTCAAAAACTTGTCGATATTTGATCTCAGGGAATAAAATCGCTGCAGCACGGAGCAGCGACTGAGCCAGCGCACTTCAGAATGGTAGAGTAGGTCCCCGTATTCGGCATCAACATCAGAGAGGAACGCTTGAAATTCTCTGTGGTAAAGCCCTCGTGCCCGAATTGTTGACAGTTTTCACAGCTGTGTTCATCACATCGCCAAGTTGGATTATCTTGGCACAGAGGGCTTCTTGGTGGATGATAGTGCATTTTGACAGCCTCACCTCCGCTCTCCCGCACCTTGGCACTCACCATAGAGGCCATTCCTTTGCGCTCGCCTGTCATTGCTGGAGCCCCATCCGTTGTAATTCCACACAGCTTGTCCCATTTAAGTCCAGCCTGGTCAATTGCATCTGACACAGCTTCAAACATGTTCTTCCCAGTTGTTGTCCCCTTTAGACTCTGAAGATCGAGCAGTTCCTCCGTAATGCAAAAATTATCATCAACTCCCCGCAAAAAAATTAACAGCTGTTCAGTGTCCGTGGCATCTGTGCTCTCATCACATGCAATCGAGTAAAAATCGAAAGCACAAGCTTTATCTGACACTTGCTGTTAGCAGGCTAGCTGCCATTTGCTTTACCTTCTCTTTCCGCTCGGCGTCAGTGTAGGACGTGAAGGACTGATGTTTCGTTTCATAATGCCGTCGTACATTGTACTTTCATCACGGCAACACTCTCATTACAAATCAAACAAACACACTTCCCCTTGGTTTCTATGAAAAAATATTCATTTTTCCGAGTCTGAAATTTTCTGCACTTGCTTGCAATCTTGCGTCTCTTCGGTTCCAGCATTTCTGGTGACCGAGCAAATTTTTTCTTCGATTGCTTGCTTTGTGGAAACGCTGCCTTGCTCAAGACAATAGCGCCACCCAGTTTTTTAACTAAGAAGTGCAATACAGTGGGCCATAGTCCATTATATTTTAAGACTTTGATACGGGCCAATTAAAAATGGATGGAGGGCCGCAGTTGGTCCGCGGGCCGTAGTTTGGACACCCCTGGTTTAAATGTATGATACAACTATTTTGATGAAAGAAGAAAAGGCTTTAACCTTTTTGGAAATAATACAGGTGTTAAGATCAGAATCTTTAAAATCAGAATCTGTCTTCTGGAGGAATGTTACAGGTGTCCGGTCGGGGCGGGTCAGAAAGTTACAAAAACAAACATGGTTGGCTATGCACGGTGTGAAAGAAGTTCAACTAACATACAAAAAACGACAGGAGTGCAAAATAGATTAAAGGGAATAAATTCACGAAAAATAAATAAAAATGAATAAAGTACATAGTCCAAATCTTGACTTAAAGTTTTCGTGACTGCAGAAATTTATATTCTTTGGGTCTTTCGGCAAAGTCACGTATATAGGTTCAAAGAAAATAAGAAAAAGCGACGTTTCGATGGCTTGTGTTGCCGTCATAGTTTTTTATTTCCTTCGAACCTATCTACGTGACTTTACCGTAAGACCCAAAGAATGTACATAGTCTAATTTGCAAACAGATCCCTATTGCAAGGCAGAATTACGTCTGCATTAACCACACATGCTTGTGGTATTTTACCAGAAACGTCAAGTCTGTATTAACCACATGATATGTTTTATTTACAAGGCTATTATTTCCGTAGATTTGCTCTTTATTTGACTTGCTATTAAACCATTGGACAATCCGAAAAATCCGCGATGTCCATCTGATTGTCTATGTGAGTCTGTCGGTATCTGTGCGAGTCTGGGGGTCTCCGTGTGGATCTTTGGGTCTCTGTGCGATTGTTTGGGTCTCTGTGCGAGTCTAGCGGTTCCTGTATGACTGATTGTTAACAGTTTCCCAGATTTCACTGCCCAAAGGTTTGGAACGACTTAACATCTTTTGGCATCTCAATTCTGCCATCTATAACCTCTTTTAAACTGACTCTATTATTAAAATCACTCAAGTTTGAGCTCAATGGGTGTTACTCGTGAAATTAACTTCTGATTGTGAGTGGGCGGGCCAGTGAGTGTGGGTGAGCGGGCGAGTGAGCGTGGGTGAGCGAGCAAGTGAGAGAGTGTGTGAGTAGGTGAGTGTGCTTGTGTGGGCGAGTGGGAGAGTGGATGGATGAGTGAGTGGGCCAGTGAGTGAGCTTAATTATTAAATGCTTTGATGTCTGCCGGCTGAGTCGCCTTTGAAAATAAGCTTCTTAGTTCAATGGACTTCACTCGGGAAATAAACGTATCCCGACTCTGAAATAAACTTCTGGACTGATATCGTCCAAATATTGCAATGCTGAACAAATGCCCCCAGTTTACTCAATCGGGAATACGCGAATAAGCATCGCCCCTCCCCCCGACTGCCAAACCAACTCGGCAGGACGCTCCTGAACTGAAGTAAAGAGACTCAGTGTGATAAAGCACTCGAGTGTGCACCACGCTGGCGAGATTTTCACATCGCTCGGTATAGAGGTCGTGGGTTGGATCCTGACGCTGACGCGTGTTTATTTGGAGTTTGCGCGTCTCACGCCGCTTTTCCCCTCCAAATTTAGAAACTTGAGTTTAGAGCATTTGGCTGCTGTAAATTTCCACACGATTACAAGCCACTTCGTTGTGGGCAGGTCGCTTCTGAAAGAGATATATAGCTCAAAATATGAGAAATATGAAAAAAAAAGAAACATGGTTTTACAGTTGTCAGCAGGGTGAGGACAAATAAAATTAATCAAACTTAAAGCAAATACAATCAGGCGATGGCAGGAGGCAAGCCCAGCATAACTAGGCCACACTTTGTAACGTTCCAACCTGGACATCGATTGCATACTCGCTGCTACACTCAATTGAGATCCCCAGGAGAACAATAGAAGAAGCGAGGCTGCACCTCAATGAACAAAACCAACCACCACCAAAAACCACGACCACCGGTTGTGAACTTCTCACCTCGGTTCTCAGTTGAGTGACGAGCAGTTTTCCGGGATCTCGTGATGTCACGCGGATTCGCGCGGCGGTGGAGAGAACATGACGTCACTTAGCGAGTTTACCACCTCCCACTGAATAAATTATGTTAATAAGGCAGTCCCTGACATTGAGTGATTGGGAGTGGCTACTGAATCTGACACAATGAACTCGCGACAGATTTAATGGCTAAATTACATTTATGAAGCAGGCCCTCATATGGAGTGATTGCGAGTGGTTTTGCCCAAATTATGATTTTACTGGTGACATGACGTCACTAGCGAGGTACACACCCGTTGGCGTCTCGCGGCGATGACGTCACGTGGAGTGATAAAGTGAGAGAGCGAGCACGGTGAGGAGTGGTATTAGAGTTTAAGTTGATTTAGATTCCTTTTAAATTTCTTCCTCTGTTGCACAGGTATCTATCCCTTGGGTGGGTAAGCTCAGCTACAACAACAAGAACGTGAACATTATTGAGTGTGTGTACACTATGTGTGACACCACTATCGTCATAAGCATCAACATCGGCACCATCATTATCATCATAAGCAACACCTTCAGCTTCAGCATTATCATTATCAACACAATCATCATCAGCACCATCATCAGCAACACCACTTTAATAATCATCAACACGATCATCAGCGCCATTGTCATCAACATCACCATCATTTAAACCAGGGGTCACCAAACTTTTTTCGCAGTGGGCCGGATAACTGAAAGAATGACGAGCATAGGCCGCATAATCATTCTGTTCAATACTTGCAAGCCAGAACGAAAGCTCGTGGAAAAAAGACGAAAAACTAAGTTTAGCATTCCATGTTTATCATGGGTGAGTGGCGTGCAATGCACAAAAAACAAAGACAACCAACATATTTATTTACTAAAAAGTTATCAAAGAAGGCGACGTTAGCAAAAAGATAGTTACATCAGACCTAGTGTGCACATATCCGAATCTCACAAACTAAGCAGCAAAAAAGATTAGTGAGATTTGTGAAACTGACGTTTGGCTTTCAAGATATCATCAATGTTTGGTTTGGAATTGCATCCAATCAAGAGAATTGCTTTCAAATGTTCATCAGTCAATCTCGTTCGATGTGTTGACTTCACATACTTCATTTTTGAAAATGTTAGCTCACAGACACAAGTTGTCCCAAACACTGATGCCATACCAGCGGCAAATTTCTTCAGTTTCGGAAGCTCAACATCAGGTAAGCAGCGGTAAAATTCAACAAGTTTTCCTTCTCTGTGCTTCTCTTTCAACAAGTCATTTGCTTGCAAATCAATGAGCTCCAACTGTAGTTCAACTGGCACATCATCAAGGTTACAATCAAACGGATTTTGGAACAGAAGAATGTCACTCTCAATTCTGTCAAGATCTGAAAATCTCTTCAAAAAATGCTTCTTCAAGTCACGAATAATCTTTTTCGGAAAATCGAGGTTGACATCTTCAGTGATTGTAGCGCAAAACTCTTTGAAACAGTAAAAATGAGAGAAGTTTTCTCCTTCCAGTTGTGCTTCAAAGAATGACAGCTTTCTCCGAAATCCTTTGATGATTCTGTAGAGATCACAGACGAGGTTATCCTTTCCCTGAAGTTTCAAGTTCAGTTCATTCATGTGGGATGTGATGTCGACCAAAAATGACAACTTTGACAGCCAGGTAGGATCTGACAGCTGTGGATCAGCTCTATCTTTTTCAGTGAGAAAAACATCTATTTCGTTTCGGAGCTTGTAAAAATGACACAGGACTTTACCGCAGATGAGCCACCTCACTGCTGTGTGATAAGGCAAGTCACAGAAATCAGAATCCATTTCTTAAAGAAAAGCCTGGAACTGACGGTGATTGAGTGCATGTCCCCGAATGAAGTTCACAGCAGAAACGACTGGTTTCAGTACACAAGAAATATCTAAGTCTTTCTCATAGAGTGCTTGCTGATGTATGATGCAATGTATGAACAGAGTGCCCGGAATTTGCAAATCTTCCAACTGAGTCCTGATCTGCCCCACCAGACCCTTCCTCACTCCAGCCATGTTTTTTCCTCCATCAACTGTAACACCTCGAAGCTGATTCCACTGAAGGTTATAGTCTTGCAAAGTTTTTTGCACTTCCATGAAAATGTATTTTCCAGTTGTTGTTCCATGAATGGTGCAAACGGATGCCAACTCTTCCGTTATCTGAAAGTCCAAATTGACACCACGAATGAACACGAGAAGTTGTGACATACTCGAGAGATCAGTAGATTCATCCAGCACCAGAGAATACCAAAACAAGTTCCTAGCTTTCTCGCGTATCTGTAGCACTATGTGCTCTCGAAGTTCTTCTGTTCTCCGCGCAACTGAACTTGCCGAAAGGCTGATACTTCCAAACAAATCGGCATTCTCAGGACACAAGTCATTTGCTGCTTCCATCATACACTCTTTGATGAAGTTGCCATCAGTAAACGGTTTTTCTCGTTCTGCCATCTTATGCACTATTTTGTAACTTGTATGAGTGACAGATTCATTTTCAGCAAACTTTCTCGTGAAGAGATTTCTTTGAGTTTCTAAACCACGTTTCATGGACTTATATTTCTCAGAGCGTAACTTTCCAGAAAACTTTGAATATGTTGATACATGTTTTTTTCATAGTGACGCCGAAGATTGTACTCTTTAAAAATGGCAACACTTTCGCTGCATATTACGCAACTAGCTTTCTGGTCCTTTGTTTCCACAAAGAAGTACTTTACTCCCCATTCTTCATTGAAAACGCGACACTCGGCATCCACTTTTCTTTTCTTAGTAACCATAATGACGGGTGAAGAAAACGGGATCTGAAAATGAAAAAGACATTGAATTGTTTCCTATTGAAACACAAGAAACGCAGAGGATTCAGGGGTCACTGGTGAAGCTACGGCTCACCAAAGGTACATACAAAGTTTATAGGTACCTTTGGTAATAGAATATATCACATAATAAGGTTTACAAAATATATAAATAGGGCGGGCCTAAATAAACAGCCTAGAGACCAGCTCGATTAACACCTTGACCGGGGAATTTTTCTGAGCTGGGATAATATTTTCTTAATAACACGAGGCTTCTATGGCATTGTTATTCTATGTTTGTTACTTTATGACCTCTAATCACACTTGTAGTTCACTTACCTATCACTGTCAAACAAAGAAATCCTTGCTTCATACCTATAAAATGGATGACAGGCAAAAAGAAGTAAATATTTCTGGAGCGTCGGACCTGTGTTGACAGCCGGAAAATCTGGGGGCGGGAAAGATGCGTGTTTGTGTGTGTTGCCATGGAAACCATGGTAACGTCAGAGCGTAGGCGGAGCTACCACGAGCCGGGGAAGTACTTGGGATGGCGCGAAATAAGTAAACATTACAATAAACAAGAAAATCTAGATACAATAATTTAAAATTGAAAATAGTAAATTTAAGGCACATAGCAGTCAGGAGGTCTCCGCACGCATGAAGATCTCCTGGTATTCTAAACATAATATTTAAATTGCATCACAACGTCTCGTGTTCCATACGTTTTATCAACCAAATTCAAGTACCGTCGGCGGGCCTGATGGACTGACGTCGCGGGCCGGATCCGACCCGCGGGCCGTAGTTTGGTGACCCCTGATCTAAACCATCATCAGTTTCACCAACAATCGCAATTCGTCACTAAGTGGCACTGACGTCACCACGGCGATTGTTCCAGGCTAAGGCCACGTGAAATATCAAATGCCCGCGTGCAAGCGGCCACGGGACATACCCAGGTGTCATGGGTTGACTGACTGAGATGACTGGCCAATGCACCACATGTGCCCCCTACTGTGCCAACTGTCTATGCGTGGCCACGCAGCTGGAGCCTGTGAGTATATGGGGTGCGGTTCGCTGGCTACACACCCTCCCCCTGAGTCCTCAATGTGCTCCAGGTGGCCTCTATGAGCTCTGGGTGCATCCACTCCCATCAGCGGTGCTGAACGGGCAATTCTACGGTGGCCCGAAAGTCCAAACACAGGGTTATTGTTGTATAGGGTGGCCCAAAAGTCAAGACATATAGGATTATACAAGATGGCCCAAAATTCAGGGCACAAATGTAACCATTATACAGAGTGACCCAAAAGTCAAGACATACAGGGTTATACTGGGTGGTCCAAAAATCAAGAGACAAAGGTTATTGGTATACAGGATGGCCCAAAGGTGAAGACACACAGGGTTATTGTGTTATACAGGATGGTCCAAAATTCAGGACACGCAGCATTGCAAAACAGGGTGGCACAAAAGACATAGGGTTATTGCTATACAGGGTGGCCCAAAAGTTAGGAAACATAGGGGTGTTGTTATACAAGTGTAGTGGATTAACACGCGCATACAGGGTGGAAGGTAAAGACGCGCGAGTTATGGACAATGGGGTCATGTCGGGCTGGGCAGGTGCGGCAACGGAGAAAGGTAAAAGGGAAACGGTCCAATTAAGTTGGTATGCGATATATGGCTGTGATTGGCCGGGTGTTGTTGTCAAGGGCAGAGTGGTGCCGAAGTGTCTGGAGATGGGGGGGTGATAGCGACAGGTGCGAGGGGCACGAAGCGTCGTGAGCATGCCGCCTAATTAATTGGTAGTTGATGGGAACGGGGATATATTCAGGGGGGGGGGGGGCGGGAGAGAAGCAGAGTTGAGTTGTCGCTGGGACTGGAACGAAGCAGGTCGGGGAGAGATGCAGAGAAGACATAAAGAGACAACAAACTAGCAGTGGAACAGAGATAAGGAGCGACAGAGAGATAGAGACAAGACAAGGAGAGACAGGGAGAGATACAGAGTGGGACAGAGACAGAGTGAGACAGAGCGAGAGAGATACGGAGTGGGACAGAGACAGAGTGAGACAGATACAGAGAGATACAGAGTGAGACAGAGAGAGAGACAGATACAGAGTGGGACAGATGTAGTGGGTTCCAGGACACGGAGACGGCAGAATAGAAGCAGCACTATTTATTTAAACCTTAACAAGGGTTACACTAGAAGGGGTAGCGGCCCCTCCACCCGTATAACTCAGGAACACACCCCAGGCTCTCTAGCCCAGGGGTCGGGAACCTTTTTGACTAAGAGAGCCATGAAAGCAAAAAATTTGGAAATTTATTTCAGTGAGAGCCATATAATATATTTTAAAAGTGAATTAAACTAAATGTCAGTATAATAAGCCTCTGAATTTATTCTTTTAAATAATGTTGTTATAACACTCACCATTAATGCGACTTCTGGTGCTGCATGGATTTGCTGATGTCTTTGTAGTCGGGTTGGTACTTGGTGAGGTTAAGCTTCATGCAAGCGTTGAGGCTTTCATCC